GGCCGGGTCCGGCCCCACCCCCTTCCAGTTGGCGGCGGGCGACCTATTCGAACTCAAGTTGTTGGCATACGTTTTACTGAAAAAGAAGAAAGAAACCCAACGGCCCCACAGAAGAAGGGACGTTCCCCTTCTTGAAAAAGTTGCAAAGCTTGAAACTTATTAGTATTCTTCCGCCTTAAAAAATAGGCCCGCCCGCCGGGCCCCGCGGGCGCCCGCGCTCGATGACCTCTGCGCCCGGGAGCGCGGCCGGTGACCCGAACTGCTGGCCGGGGAAGGGCGGGGCTGGGACGTGAGCCTGAGGCCTGGGACTGGAGCCGATGCCGTCAGGGGTGATCCCCTAAGTGGGGGTGGGGGTGGGGGGCTCCACTGAGTCGAAATGGTGCCACCCGGCCAGAGAGTGGGGACAGGACGGAAGTGTCTCCAGTGGGTGCCTTCACTTCTGAAACTGGCCGGGGTATTTTGTCAAATTCCCCTTTGCTCTCTTATTTTTTTTTTTTTATTAAATAAAATCAAAAGTGGAAAAGCAGAAGTAATAACTGACACCACAAAAATACAAAGGATTACAAAAAAAATTATTATGAATGACTGTATGCCAACAATTGGATGATGTGGAAGAAATAGATGAATTCATAGAAATATACAATCTTCCAAAACTGAATCAATCCCGCCCTTCCTTCCCTCCGGCGGAGGTGGGGGAAGGGGAGTCGTTCCGTTTAACCCTGAGTTCCCCGAACCCACTCAATTTTGCTAAATTGGCAGTTCGGTAATTCCTCCTTTTACTTTCCTTCCTCTGGCTCACTCCCTTCCCTTATACCCAAGTGTGGTTCACAATGCAAATTGGAGGGAGCCTTCACCCTAACCTCTTCCTGCTCCCCACTCTTTTCATCCCTTTATGTTGCTTTCCATTGACCTCTGCAAATTTTGCAATGGGGGAGGGATTTTTTAAATTGCATTTGCACAAAGTTAGGTATCTGGGCAGGCAAGGGGGGAGGTAGGGAGGGAATGGGGAGCAGGCCCCGCCCCTACCGCCCTTTGCAAATAAAAATCTAGAAGGGGGGGGAGGAGCAGGAAGTGGCGGTGCGAGGGTTGCTGCACAGCTAGCAGAGCCGAGGTCCGGACGGCAGCGCGTGCCCCGAGCTCTCC